TTCCGTGGTGTACTGTGTTCGTGCTCGAGTTTTTTTCATTAATTCTTTTTTCTTTTTCGCGTGTATATTTTTAACATTTTATACAGCGCAGTGATTAGTGAGCGTTTGACATTTATATTTTGTATTTTGTACAACTCAACCCTCAAGTTCTCAAGATCTCCGAAGTCTTAAGATTTTCAGAAGTTAAAGGTATGTATACATTCAAATCAACTATTAATTTATTGTAAGTACCTATATGTAGTAGTAAACGATAATAACACATCATCATCATCAACATATCACGTCCGTTTGCCAAAACAAAATAAAAAAGTCAAGCTTACTCAAAATGCACATCAAATGAATGATATTAATTTTTACTTTAGATGTTATTACTACCAAGTTTCCAGATACTAACCAAAAAGAAATATGCAGCACACTTAGTCGTTGGTTTTCTGGTACTAAAGATAGGGAAGGAGGAAAAAAAAGAAAGGAGTCTTAAGAAATTAAATTATGGAACAAAGGGAATTAATAATTAAATTTATAATTATTAAATTCCAAAATGATGGACATTTTTAATCTGATTAAGGAATGCAATTTTTTCCTAATTTCATATATTTATTTTAATTTGTTAAATAGAAAAATTGATCATATTTTAATTATGTTATACCTTCAAATTAATTACTTAAAAAATAAACAACATTTTACTTTTTAATATTATTTTTTAATATGTATTCTTAATTCTTAATCCGTATTTTTCCACTTCAACTTCCCTCTTTTCCATAATTTAGTTTCTTAAGACGCCTTTATTTTTTTGATGTGGAAAAAATTGCATTCCTTAATTAGGTTTAAAATGTCCATCATTTTGGAATTTAATAATTATAAATTTAATTATTAATAATGTTTTGGGGTATAAGTGGTATATACTTCCATGTTAAAATATGTTTTATTATTCTTTTAAATAGATATAAGCGTATTTTGTTATATACGATTTACACAAATGCATTTGTTAAAATTTCAAACTAAGTTTATCAACTATTAATGTTTTTGAGTTTATGCTAAGTACTGCAGAATATATTGTATAATTTTTTTCTCATTCTGAAAATAAACTTAAATTTTTTAAGATATTTATGTATTTATTTATATTTTTTGATATACCTAATATGTTTAACAATTTAAGCAATATTAATTAGAAGCATTTTAATTTTCTAACAGAACTGGCCTTTCAAATATTGAGTAGTAATGCCTTCACATTTTTACAACTGGCATTTTACTGGCCGTCAGTAATAGTGACAGTATTGGGATATGTCTGGGATGTTAACACTTTTCTGTACTGGTTATCCACTACTAGTTAACTGATAATCAGTGCTGGCACACAATAAAGGCGAAGTACTGTCTCAAGGTGATAGTCGGTACCGACTATTGGTACTGGGCCAGTAGTGGATAATTAGTACATAAAAGCGTTATCATCCTATATATATGCCAGTACAGTTCCATTACTGACTGCCAGTAAAGCACCAGTATCAGTCAGTACTGGCGCAGTATTGTGCCTGTTGTTAATTTCCACTTGGGATGCTAACATAAATAAATAAATCTCGTATACGTCAGGTGTTCATATTATTTTGTCCACCCCCTGTATATTTTATGTTCCGAGCGACGCGGCAGAGTAATCGAAATCAAAAACCGTTCTCGGAACGCAAACGTACGCGCGCGGTTGCAGCTATCACGTGTGTCGCTGTTGCACTCGAGCCCTACTGCCCACGGCCGCGGTGGTGAACACGTGTAAATAGACCGTGTTCACGTGACGCAGCACCGGTAATCACGTAAAGGCATATTTGAGAGGGGACGAATTACCTCTTCCCCCCCCCCCCCCATGGCTCGTATTTTTGTTGAATACGACACATTGATTTACTTAAATACTGTAATGCATAAATAATTAAGAATATAAATTACTAGTCTATCATTATAATATGTTATCATTATAACAGAAACATAAGCTGTAGATAATGAAATAAAAATTATTTTTAAGATTGTATCGAAGAAAAATTAATTTCGTCCCCCCCCCTCATGGCCTTAACTCAAATACGCCCTTGTAATCACGTAGAAAAATCGTTATTTCTAATCGGTTTCCGAACCATTTACCTATTCTACTTACTTTCCTAAAGCGCGCGTCTGTCCGCGTAAACGCTGTAATTATGGCCGTGGCGCGTAACGTTCCGAAATCCATGTGAAGACGATCTCGGTTTGGATTTCGTAACGGGAGCCGCGTTCGTGCGCGCACGGTTTCGAATCGTCCCTGATCAAGTCTTCGACACTCGCAGTGCTCGAATTTGAGGGAGGGGAGGTGATGCGCAGGCGGACGGACCTCCTCTGTTATTTTTATTTTTTTTTCTGCGTACACCGACCATGTTCTTTTTATTGAAATGTGGATTTCGGTTTATCTACGTCAGTTTTTACAAGGAACGTTACGATTTTATTCTTCTGCTGTTTGTTTGGTCAGAAATTATTTCATCAATCCTTGGCTCAACAGAATCGATTTCACTAATTCTCATTGCTTGTGATATATATATATATTCGAAAAATCCCTTCTTATTGCTCGTCTAGATCAGTGTTTCCCAACCTATTTTATCCACGGAACCTGAACATTTTCGCGGAACCCCTTAATAAGATTAATAAATAACATGTATAAAATATCTCGGGCGACGGATAATTGCTATAACATTATTGTGTAACTAATATTTTATAATAAGATAACGTCCCAAGGAGAAAAGGATTAGTTCATAATTCGAGTCCTTGTTCTAATTAAAAATTTTGTTTATTTTTTTCCGAATTTCTCACGGAACACGAGGAACATTTGTGTTCCGCGGAAAACCAGTCGGGAAACACTGGTCTAGACTCGAGAGCATCGAGAAACAGCTATGTCAAATTTCAAGTTGATTTCGACAAATTGTGGTTGATCCGTTGTTCGAAACCGCTATGCCGACGATATTTTTCAATCGTATATGAGCGTAAATATACACACACACACACACACACACGTCACGTTAGCTATCGTGTATAGACGTGTGTATATAATACCAATGTGTGTAATGTAAATATTAATATTACACGTATTTTTATTAATATAATATGTACTCTACGGGTTCGCGGATCCTATGCGTGTCGTCTGCCGATACGGGAAGAAAACGTGTCGCATGTGGGAAACACGATCGGAGATTTTATTTCTCTTAATTTTATCTTTTCTTACGTTCGCTTTGGAGACGTGAAACCGATGGACGCGCGCGACCACATACACACACACGTACACGATTTCTTATCCACGCCTACGATCACAGTCCTCCGAATCGAACCCGAACAGCAGGTCGCGTTAGAAATAATATATCTATCAACAACCCCCGTGCAACTGATTTATGTGCAGAGCCAGTCGTCTGCGACGGAGTGCTGGGAGCGAGTATAATGCGCATAGGTGAACATCATCTCTTACTTCTCGATCGGAATTTTTCTGTTTTTTTTTTTTGTTCTTTTTCCTCCGATCTTTGGCCGGTGAGAGCGCGGCGGAGGGGTTATTTCGTGAACGTTTCGAAATCGATGCGTGTATCGCGCCGAAAAATACATTATACCTATGGTACGCAATCACCGATCGGCTTGTTCGATACATGGAAGACGAATACGAGTAGATGTGTGAGTGTGTGTACGGTACGCGTACGCGTAGCGCGTACATTAAGAGGTATGATACGCAACGTGTGTAGTTCATATAACTTTAAAACGTAAACAGACGACGGTATTCGGGGACATAAATTATTGTTTTTATCGTTCCGAAGGAACCATGGATAGCGCGCAGTTAAATACGCGTACGCGTTACGGCGTTTTCGTGTGTAATAAACGTCGATTTTATACGCACGCACATGCGTAACATCCTGCGACGGTTTCCCGCGCGCGCAACGATACGCATCGAGAAAGGATAATTGTACGACACGTGTGTTGTACAGTTGTACTTATGGGTCGCGGGCGTCGCGGAACTGGCCCGTGGACCGTCAAGACTGACGTCCATGTGTTTCTGGTGAAAGTAATATTATTACACGTTCGCGTTGTATGATAACGTTTCTGGTTATAATATCAATGAGACTGTTCGGCCAAAATCGCACTAAGAAACTTGATGGGCTTTCCGACAACCTATCTGTGTGAACGAGCTTTTTTCACTTTTATAAAATATTTGAAAATATTTCCACTTTCAAAATATAAATATAGCAATTAATTGAATGTTCGGAAGTAATGCAAGGCTAAATCTGTCCATTTTTAAACCAGCTACGTGGGGGACAAGCAATGTTAAAAATCTCATTGAACTGTTTAATTTGTGATCAGTTAGGTTCAATAAAGTTTTTCCTTAATATACATTTGTTTTTTAAATTCATTTTGTAATAACTGACTACTTACTGACGTATGTGCACATTATATATATATATATATATGTATATATATGTACCTATAGGATATGGTATAGGTTTAAATAAATATCGCTATTAGTGGACCTCAGAGATTTTTTTACGAATTTAGCGGTCCGAACAGCTAAAGCGGATGGGAACTGTTGTTATACACGTTACGAAATGGCCAATGATAATATTTTATGAGCGATGAGTATTTTTCGATGCGAGCGTACGACGACGGTAGCGGCCGTAAAATCATTCGTTATATAATTATTATAACGGCACCCGAACGATACGAAAATGTACTAACGAGAAGCGATGACAAAGTGTTACAAGTATTTGGAATAATAATGATAATGAAAAATGTTCGGACGCAACCTGGTCGTCATCGTCACCGCCGTAGTTATAATATCATCATAATACGTTATATGTACATACATATTATATTGACGCAAATATATCACGTGACGTTAAACGCTTGAGTTTACGCGTTCATTTTTCTGGTTTAATACAGCAACATGAGTCGAAGATTGGAAGTTTTTTCACGTCTATGAACAACGCTAACAACAGAGTTATTAATTACAACGCCAGTGACTAGGTTAACAATGGACGGTTTCAAAGTACATTTATTACGTTATTTTTTTTTTAACGCTTCTCCGGCCAGTTGTGTTGTTATTCTTGGTTCCATCGAGTGTGTGTGTGTGTAATACGTGTGAAATATATGGTATAGTCAGTCGTTCAGTATTACATAAATATTTAACGAATTTTTTGGGTTGATTTATTCATTGAAGATGTATTTTTTCACCACGGTCCCAAAATTAATTACAAGTACGTTAATCTAATAGTTTTAAATATTTAAATCGTGAACGGTTCAGTTTAGTCATATATAGTTATATTTTGAAGTCCTCGTGATTCATTTAATTTAAACGCACGGTGTTCAATTACAATTCAAATTACAAAAATATTATTAATAGTACAAAATTGCTAAGCGTAATCTTGAAAAACATTTAATACCGATTGGGTAGTGTCTGAATTAATCATGTTTATTATTTTATTATTATTTTATGCAGATGTTGGAGAGAACAAAATTAGATCATTGGAGCACAGCAGTTTTTGAATATTTTAATGTACGTAGAGATTTTATTGAGAAACCTACTTAAAATGTATTACATTTATTATTTTTTCCATTTCTTATTTATATCTGATAAAAATCAGTTAAAATAACCAAATGTATATATTTCTTTTATGGTTACAATAATATACATACATAGTGAACATAAATACGTATTTATTGTTCAGATAGTTTTTGAATTATTTAGTCACTATAGTATCAATAGATTTCACTTTATTAACCTATTATAGCTGTATAATAATATTGTATTGTGTCGTACTTTAATCGTGTATTTTGATCGAAAAGCCTACCAAACTATACGATATTGCAAGATAAAAATTGATTGACTAATGAAAATATTGTATGTAATTGTATAATAATTGTACATAGATTAAAAGACGTACGTGTTGAATTCATATTCGACTTAGTTTTTATGTAGATGATAGCTTTCCTGACCTGCAGACTTTGAATGAACAACCGCCGATAAGTTTGAGCGTATACAACATATTATTATTAGATCAGAATTAAATATATTTTGAGAATCAAACCCAATCATATATTCACCATGATTTTTTGCAAACTAAAAATCCGTCCGAAGAATATAATTTTTATAATTTTCATTTAGGACTTTAATTTTTCATACACAACGTCACAAGTTGACGATTTTGAACTTTTAGCCAATATATTTATCGATGACACATAATTAATCAATAATTTAAGTCACGAACAAAAATACAATCATGTATTTTTAAATATTTCATTCAAAAATATCTTATTCATTGTTACACTTATACATATATACAATGATAATTGGATACACCTAATATTTTTGCGTAGACCAATCCAATTTGAACTCTGTTTTTATAGATGGAAATGTACTTAATAAAACACATTTTTTTGGTCTCTGATTTTAAATCTGTTCATTATACTCGCGCATGCGCAATGAAACTTTGTTTTTCTTAAATGGCCACTCCTACTTTTGAGCACAAATTATTATTTTTCATGTTTTTTTTTTTGAATTTTAATGAATTTTAACTAATTTTAGTTTAACTTCATACATCCATAATTGATTGAATAACATTGATTTAACGAAAAATATTGACAATTACGGAATTTTCATTTTTGTTCCCTATAAATAATTAAAAGAAACGATACTAGACACTTGAAAACTCCCCCTTCTAATTTGTTAAAGTTTTATTTAATTTTGAACTATCCATTGAACAAATTTTATGTAGATTAGACAAACCGATTAGGTTTAATAAGCATAATTAAGTAAAAATTTACTACATTGAGTTTCGATCAGTATCTGTTATTTTTAATTGTTAAAAAAAATTGCTTTTTATAGACTTATAATGATAAAATAAACTCAGATTAACTTAAGTATATTTTATAATCGATGTATCTTATAAATTGTCCGTGAGGTACTTTTATAAATTCTGTGACCGTGAACTAATTACTATTCAATAAAACTAGTTTATTTCTCATTTTTGTGTACATTTTCAATCGATACGAATGTGCAATGAGGAAAAGCCTAGTTTCAATAAATTTGTTCAATCGTAATACCTATACCGTTTTGTGCGCATTCATTTGTGTTTAGTTTTCGTAACTCCAGTGTAGGAGGAGTACAATAAGAAATATATTTTAAATTTGATATAAATATATGTATTTTAACGTTTAATATATTTGCAGCAAACAACAGATTAAACGGTGCACCGTATGGAAAACAACGGCGACGGAATTATCATTAAAATTCGAAGTATAATTTCACAGAACAGTGGGTAAATGAATCTTTTTGGTTCGAGCATTATATTATAGGCCCACGATCCTATATGTATAAGTACAGCATAGTGAGCAAGTACTGTAACCATACATTCACGAGCGCCTACAAGTGTGTACGCGAAACTCTAGGTAGGAAGAAACATATCGAATTCCCCACAATTGATCAAATATAATTTAAATTTATATATAATAAATTAAATAAGAAAAAAAACATCCAGTTAAAACTAGTCAGATGAAGTAAAATGAAAACATAGTAATTAGGGAAATAAAAATGTTGTCATCAATATTTCCTTATATGTTTATTTCAAACTTATGGTAATGAGATTTCGAGAAAAAACTGTACATCTTTGGTTCAAGTTTGCCTTCTCTTAGTGAACATTAATATTATAAGCATTATTTCGTCTCAAATTTGGAATCAAACTTGGAGATATTTATACTCTTTCTAGTGTAAAATACATGATTATTGTGCACGTTTTTTTTAGTAGTTAAACATATCATAGAGCGAACAATAGCCAATAATTTCAACAGAACAAACCACACATCGAGACAGCAAACCGATGTTAACGTATGCTTTCCGTATCCAACTCTCTACACACATATCCGCACTACCACGGACTACCACAAAACTACGACATTTTGTACTGTATATGTTATATACAGCTGATGATATCTGCAGATCGTCTCATAGAACAGTCATAACGATCCGTGCAGAATTTAACCCGAAGTAGGAAGAATAGCTTACTTGGAAGACTTTTGATTAAGAAGCAACGAACCAGATCACATAGGTAAGAGCTTTAATTGCATTTGTTTTTAACGTGATAATCAAGTTTCTTGATATTTTGGTCGGTATTTATACATATTATTAGTCGTTTTTTATCATTAATTATTAAAATATATATTATTTTTGAATCCGAGTTCCTCGGCGACGTACTCAGATGACTTAAGTGCAATATGTATGTACACAGTGAAAAACCAATATTATTATCAATGTATTAATTTCGAAAAAAAGTTCGAATAGGATATTTTATGATACAATAACCGACGGTAGAAGATCGCTTTGACAATATCTCAATCACTGTCTAAAAAAAAGTCCCAAACATGTTATTCCGGGATGATTTTCAAAGCTCTTATTGCAACACATTGCAATATATATTATACGTAACCGTAATAATTTTATACACGTGACAAGAGTGTAATACGCATAAATATTGAATTAACATTTTTTCATGTAAATTATTATTCATATACATTAGGTATTTATTGGATATTTACGATTTTTATCTACCATAAGTATAATAATATACCAACGTAGCACAAAGTATAAGATTGTATCACGAATTCGAAAAGAGACTGTGGTAACATTGGACTTTTCTAAGTTTCTAGAAAAATCATTAGGCATAACATTTAACCTATTGATCGAAGACTTATTCCGTTTCGACTTTTTAAAGAGTTTGAAGAACGTGTATAAATATGATAATATTATGTAAAACGATTAACATTTGATTAAGAAATGCTGAAAAGATATAATCAGCCGACGGCCCTGCCCCTAAATTTCAGAAAAAATTTAAGTGTACTTTTACCCTATAAAATGTAAATTATAGAAGATCATGTTACCACTGTTTTATGAATTTTTAGTTTCAAATTGTTCATGTTATGTAGTGCACTTATTAATTTTCTATTATTAGGTAGATTAGTTAGTTTTGCAAAAAAAACGTTATGATTACAAAATTAAAATTAAAAGGGCTTACTAAAATTATAGTTTTCGTTTTTAATTGGTTGAACTGGGAAATTTCGTTTGAGGAAAAATCCTTTGCCTTCATAAAAAAAAAAAATCTAAATACGTCTCTGTCGTGCAATGTATATAATATGTATGAGTATTATTTGATTACATGCAATATTATATTAATGGTTTTTATTTAGTACACGGTGGTACGTACACGGGGAACTCGGGTCACCAATCGCTCACGTACATACTTGTACTCATGCACATGAAATGTAAAAAGTCGTCGCTGCTATCGGACACGACGATCTTGATGAATCCTACCGACAATTTGTGCGCGCGAACAATCGTTATTACGAAATTAAATCAACAAAAAATTATTCCGATTATCGCACCGAGCGCAATGCTTTTTTTCTTAGCGTAAATTTATATATAACATTATTATTGTAACCGCCACCGGTATAATAATAATTGTAATAAAAATAATTATCGTGAATGGTAATTTATGTTTGCATATTATGTTCCTTGTCGTTAATTACAGCCTTGAACGATTAAATCGGCGCATCGCATATTCTCGGACATGTCTGCTGCACGCGAGTATTATGATAATATTATACACGTAAGCGCCTCTTCATATTCATAAGCGACGTTAAATCTACCGAGACCAACGGTGGTGGGAGTTTCTATCCACCGGAAAAGTAAAAGGCACGTTTCTTATTCAACACCTCCACCCTATGCATCCCCCGCAGACGGTCCTACACTGAAATGTACATTTCGAATCGGATATCTGTACACGTGTGTATGTTATTTTATTTTACATTGATTATCGGCTTTTATAACAGTGTTAATAAAAATTTTTTTAGAAACAAATTAAAGATACAATTAGTACACGGAAATATAAAAATAAAAAATGCATAGGTATGTTAAAATATGAATAAAAAATGATGAATGGGTCTAGTTACGAAATTGTTGGCAGTTATCAAATATGGATATCCTATAGGTCAAGCGCGTAGCCAGGGGGGGTCTTACGGATGTAGTAACACCCTTTTGACTCTGTTATACTTTAGTCTTATAAAGTTAAAAATTCATCATGGACCGTGATGAACACATACTTATCATAACGATATATATACATGTTACGATAACAGTAATGTAATGCCGGCTTCTCATTACACTGTTTTATCTAATAAACTGAAACCGTGATTTCGTATCGTTTCATACGCGATTTAAAGTATACATAAGAGACAAAATGTTCATTTGAAATTTTAATAAAATATTTAAACGCTTTCTCATACATTAATGTAACACACACGAACAGATATTCGGGTATAATATACTAAAGTATTTGTATGATTGCACGATAAAGTATACGTAAAATTATTATTTTGTTGTATACAATTTTTTCGATTCATTTTAAATAACACCGCCTTTTAAAATACCTAGCTACGTGCCTGTTAGGGATACATTTTTTTCGAAATTGTTACAGTGGTATGCAAAAAAAATGTTTACTACGAATATTACCAGGGATGCGAATATTAAGTCGTCCCAGTATTCGTGGTACGTCGATATTACCATCAACCAATGCTTGAGTAAAACGACAGCTAGAAATAATGCCGCGTTCAAAAAGTGACTTTGCAATTAAATAAATCATTAATGATCCTGTAATCGTGAGGCAATATTGAGGTTGTGCCCAGAAAAATTTAAGAAGCGATCAAGGAAATAAGTTAAATTTAGTCAGAACATGGTCCACGCAGTCATACAGGCAAGTAGTATTAAATATTATTATTAATAATTGTTCTCTCTCTATCTCTTTGTATGCATAATACCTTAGTTGATACAGCTCATCATATCAAATCGTTAAAATTACAATTTCAGTAAATAAATACGAAGTATAAAAAAACTAATATTAGTAAATACCCGGTTTTGAATATGCTTTCTTATGCTTATTCATTAGGTATCTCAATCATTAAATCTACGTACTATTAAATACTTGAAAAGTATATAGGCAAGACGCGATACAGAAATGTATACTGTGCGTTAGTTCCTGTAAATTACAAGGCGCAGAAAGGCGATATTTCCGTACGCGTATCGTATTATTATGTTATGCTATAGCACGGGGATTCATATTACTCATTTGCTATCTCGGAAACTCGGGTCAAGATATTTTGCACCAGGTATTCTAGAGAAAATGCAATTCAAAACTTCTCTTAGACTTCATATTACTTGTACTTCGTATGCCGATATGATAATAAATATAAGTTATAATTGGTATGTTTATGTTGCTCACTAATTGCAACCAATGTTTAATTAGGCTTAAAGTGTTTTTAGACCGCGGTATTCGCAAATATGTCCGGTTCGGTCATTCAAACGGATATCTGTGATCGAAACGAATTGTATTATTAAATAAAACACTTTTATTTTGGAGCTCATTTACGTTTATATCAGTTTTTTAAAGCATGCTAAATTAAACACAGTTATTATAAAAATATGCGCGAATAGGAATTAATATCAAAGGCAAATTAAATGTAAAAAAAAAAAAAAGAATTAATGTAACATGTAGTATTACTAGTGATTGATCTATTTTATTCAAAGTACCATATTATAATAAATATTAAACTAAAATATAGTAGCCGTTCAATCGATTCGTTATAAGTACTTAAGTACCTACCGAATAAAATAAATAACTTAATAATAACAATACACCTAGTACGACGTTCTGAAAAATTTATTTGTTAAAATAATATAGATAGATAGACGATTTATGTCTGTACATTATTTGTATGAATGTATGAATATTCTATTAAACTGTTTTAAATTCACCGTAAAATTTTCTTTAGATCGGCTTTCCCACTTTTTTGATCTTGTCTCCCAAAATTTCACAAAACAGGATTAAACAAATCGAGAACATAAAAATAGGTATGTTAAGTACAAAATTTAAAAATGTGAGATAGTCGATCTAAAGAAGACTTTCCAACGAATTCAAATCGATTTTCAAAATCCTTATCGCCTTAATAGGTCGATCGGTACAACGGAAATAGAAAATGTCTAAATCCCTATATCGCACGTGTGATAGAAAGAGAAAGAAAATCATGGATTGCAATCCTATTAATGCATATTACCAGTAAATTTAATATTATCTAGATTATCTAAGTAAAATGTAAATTATTTAGGTTATCGTGAATTCTTAACAAAAAGTAAAAATATAATTACAATGAATGATTTTTTAACGCTGTGTACAAATACTTTAGAAACACAATTTTACGATCATAAAATATATTGGGTTGTAAAATTTTTTCAAATATCGATATAAATGTTTAAAGATCAAAAAAATAATCACATTTAGATTTATTAAAATAATATCCATGGTAAAAATATAATTGTACACACAGTCCTGCGAAAATAAGTACTAATATTTATGTATTAGTCACCGACTCGTTTAAGGATTTTTTACAGCTTACTATTCAGTCATTTGTTAACTTAAGTTTTAAACATTGCTTATTACACATGGCGTGTACCGTGACCACACGGTTACCCAGCCGTATTTACAAACCCTCTTTTATTTACATTTTCACCGTATGTTAGAGGGTTGATATTATAAGTGATTACCATTTAAATCATTCACCCCAAATAAGTCACGCTAGCTTATAGTACTGTAAATACTAACAGTACGTTTTTATTTGTTTTTTTTTTGTACCATGTCAACATATTGTTAAAAATAATATTTATCCGGGCTATCGGATTAAGAACATTACAGGTCTTGAAGATGTCAAATTACTCAATATAAGTTTCATAAAAATATTAAAGTATCAGGAGGTTAGAACAAAAGTATATGGATGAATACAATCATTTGAAAATATGTATTTGAAAACAGCTAAATGAAATTAAAAAGTTGTAAAAACTCAAAACTGATATATATTTGTATATTAATTTCTGAAAAACGCATCGGTTAAAAGTATAACGGTATAATAATATTTGGTATGTACAAGGAGTACGTATGGTGATAAGGTGCGAGTTACGACGTTTAGAATACAGCGTTTGGGTACAACATATTATAAAAAAAAAAAAATAAAAATAACACGTTTGGTACATCGTGATCACGGCTTACAGGTGCACAGGAAATGATATATAATTAAAAATATTTTGTGAGCTTAACATCCGATTGTCCGATATGTGCTGATTAAGTTATTTAAATACATTTTAATTAGAACAAGTGATGGAAACATTTTTATTCTATGAATAGAAACGTGACAAGATCATTAATCGCACAACTCGTACATAATCGTTGCCGGGTATAAAACGAATGGTTCGTCGTGGCTTATCGTCACTCCACTGGTTAGAACGAACAGTGAGTTTTAAAAATACGGTGTACAGTTACGTGAAGTGTCTACGGGCCGAAATATTTTTCGATACGAGGATATATTTGCGCACGATCGATGACGAATAGACTGACATAGTGGTAACGATATCATCATTCTCTGCGTACGTATTAACAGATGTAATGTAAATTATATATAAATGTAATATAAATCCTACGCAGGACGTGACAGTACCAGTCAACGCGCGATGAACGCAGTAAAAACTGTTGAAGGCGAAGTTATAGAGAGATCGGTTTGCACGAACAGTGAGTTTTATTGGAAAAAAGCGAAAGTACAGACGGTGCTCTGATCGATTATCGATTTTTATTTATAGCTTTATAATACTATTAAAAATGTCACGTCTTTATTTATTTTTCGTTTACCGTTGTAAATGTACATTATTTTCCGTCGGTTTATACTTATAATATCGATAGTGTTTTTTCGCTAAAACTATTGTTTGTTTACTTGACAAACTGCAGGCTCATCATTACATCCAGGGGCGTGCCCAAGAATTTGTTTTGGGGGTGGTTATAATTTTTTAACAGCTGTATAAATTAATTTATGACTTCCGAAACGATCTGTCAGACGAGTCGATGTACAAGTATGATCATAAAATGGTATGAGTATTTATTTATGAGTATTATTATGAATGTTTTAGATTTTTAATAATGTTCTAAAAAGGAAGTTGATGCTTAGGATACTCCGATTTTTAAATTTTTTATTTTGGTGCTGCGTAGTATTTTAATGCACATCCTAGCTCGTCGTGTATTATACGATTATCTATAAATATTAATTTAAATTCATCATTTGGATATGTGCGCATTTAATTTAAAACATGTACTCGTATAATGTTACATGTTATTGATTACATAAAGGAAGCGTGGGTGAAATTGTTTTTTCTAATACGGTTAAAGGCTTTAAGTTAAAGTCTTATTGTCTCAACCTAATTTTAATGTCCACTCATTGCTGCAGTGCCGTTATATTCTTGTACAATCACTTTTTCCAAACTTTTAAAATTACTGATGTTGAACCAGAGCAGAACCACTTAAATCTTAAACAACTACAAAATTTAAAAATCTTTCAATTCTCCATTTTTTCTTTTAGTTGATAGTTATAAACGGCCACATAGATTGTTTTTACAATCGAACATAGCTTAGATCGTTTTTAAATTATTTTTTGAGTATATTTTAAACTTAACCCTTCGGTAACAATTTTGTTTTTGTTGAAATAATTTAATGAAAATCATTTGCTTTTTGTTGGCATAATTCATGATAATTTTTTACTTTTACGGGAATTAAGTTTTGGTTTAGCATTCTTTCGACGATTAAAAACCATTGAAACCAAAACACCCACTGTTTTTCATTCATGATTTAAGTGACCAACTTGATTGTTTGGAAATAAAACGTATAATAATTTACATAATAGTGTAATCAAATATTGATGAATAAAATTATATTTCACTGTGACTATGTAGTCTAATACAATTTATAAGAAAAATAAGGGTTAAAAATTAAGAAAATCAATTTGGAGATTGTTTGAACCCCCAAAACTACCTTCCGGGCACGCCCCCGATTGCAACACATTCGTATAGTATTCATTTCGATAAAGGTAATTGTGACATTGTTGTACAAAACTATAAAATGCATGGCGCGTTGTTATTCGCGAGTATATACCTATTATCGCACTGTAAACACGTAATTCTATGTACCTTACGGTAAAAACAATCTAAATGAACGTTTCAATAATTATAATAATATCAATTACAGTCCGTGTAAGTATCGAACATTACATTAGTCCGATATTGATTTTGTACAAGCATCTAACTCAAAGTTTTTAAAAATGAAATAGTTAAACAGTCAATATTATTCGTGTGCATCCGATTAAAAAAAAAAAAAAAAAAAAAAAAGACTCCGGACCTAAGACATCGTACGGATCATTAATTCGTTCAGTTTTTTATCGTAAGCGCTGGTAAACGGTAGGCGCGAATACGCGTCGACACCGTAACCCGATTGTAAGGACAATGAACCGAAATCAACGCTCCGCGCCGAAAAAGATTAGCCATAGTAAGTGTTAACGATAACGATTGTCGACCCGGCCCGAATTCGGTAAGTTTTCTCGTTTTTCGTCTCTGGCCGTCTTGCACGCGCAATGTCCAACGCGCACGCGCGTATCAATTTGGCGGTCGTCGTCGGCTCCGGCTCGTTCCGTACGGCAACACCACCACGTCACGACACCGACGAACCGCGTAAAGGTCTCCGCACACTGCCGCGGTGCCGATGTTTATCCAGTATAAACCATTGGCGTACTTGTGAAACATTTTCGGGGGGGGGGGGGGAGAGCATAAATTAATTGCACAATTTTTTATGGTTGTAATATAACCCGAAACTTTATTATAAATGAATACTTAAAACTCACGTTGATCACTTGATATCAACGATAACCACGTTATAAAATAGTGACTACATGTGACCGTCACTCCTAATCCCAATTCGGTCGAATATTGATATTTTATATTACATTGATAAGTCTAGTCGATATACAGAAATGAAAAGATTGGCTTCTAATAGAGAAGAATGGAAAGCCAGATTTGCAACGACAAGGCAAGGCCTTTAGTAAAGAAGAAGAAGAAGTGTAAAAAACCAAGCGTGAAATAAAAAAAACTTTTGATATCAAGCACGATTATAATCAGTGAAAATTAAAAACATTTATGATTTACGTTATTTAAGCTGAACAATTAATTTGCATTATGGCATCAAAAAACTTCTCGGGGAGGGGGAGGGGCAAATGCCCCTGTTGCCTCCCCGCATGTACGCCACTTGTGTGAACATAATATATTTATATACTGCGTACAATAATTGTACAGTTAATCGATGAATTCCTATGCCATCGATAAACTGACCATTTATCCATATAGTACGTTATCACCGTATTATACTATTGTACATATTGTACTGGTTATTTTTACACGAATTATTTTTAATCAAGTTAAACAACACATTAAGCTACGACTTGAATGGTTTCTGGGAAATAATCGAAGTCTTTAGACTTCTGGTCCACTACTATCCAGTCCAAGTCTAGTCTACTAATATGCACCGTACATGTTAGACGGTTACCATTAGCGTATGGTTGATCAGTCGACTGAAAATACCGCTGCGCGGTGGCGGTGAAATCGAGCGCGCTGCGGTTTTTATAAATATCGCAGTGGCGATATTTTACCGCGGCCGGATCACCGCTGCAGTGCGCGGACTCCCATTACAATACGCGCGTACAAATTTAACGTCACCGCGGCACGGTGCGGGGGCACCTTAAACAATACGATCGGCGTTTTTATCGGAGTTCCGGTGTTCCGCGCGCGCCGGAAATAAACATCGGTGGCCGGCGACGGCGGCCCGGGAGATTTACCGCCGCGGCGGCGGCGGCGGTGGCGGCGGAATGGTGTCGAGCCGGGCGGCCGCGCGTCGGGTCGCGACCGCCGGCCACGCCCAGCCGACAGTCGATTGGGCCGCGCGGTCGTCCCCTCGGCCGCCGACCGCCACGCGCGCTCCGCCGGACGAACGACGGCGAAAAAAACCACCTAGCCGGTGCTCAGTCTCGACGCGCGCAAGCCCGTGTGTACGTCCGCCGCCGTCGCTGCTCGCCGTTTTTCGTCTCGTCGCACGCCGCCGACCGACCCTCCCGCGGATAACAGAGCATGCGCAGCCGCCCCGAGTGAAGTGCTGCACCACCGAGTATCGCCCGCTAAGGACGCGCCGATCTCCTCTTCTACCACCCGGACCCGTTGTTCGATACTTCTTCGCCGCCACGAGACTTTCCGCGGGCCTTTCCTTCCCCCTCCCCCACCCCGTCAATATTTCTACCGGAACAGAATCGTATTTTTCCGGCACATTCCGTCGCCCCCAGTGCGTATTCCGCGGCCGCCCGTTCTACCGGTGCGCGCGCGTCTCTTCGGCCCGCTGTCGTCAAAGTCAGCCCGACATGGTCTGTTCGTCCGTCTTCCGGCAAGTCCGTCGTCGCTGAGTTTCGGTAAGTTTTCAAGTGTGTGTTTTTTCTCTCCGTTTTACGTTGTACCCGGTGGTGAACTCGCAACACTCGAATTCCACCTTTTTGCATTTCCCCCGTCCGCCAATTCTTGTCGCGGCCCCTTCCTTATCGCGTTTAACGACGGCTTAAATTCGTGTACGAAAAAAAATGTCCGTAATCCAGTTCCGCGGATACCACTTTCTTCCCTCAACTCTTTCCCACTTCTCGTTCCACGTATTGTCGTGGTAAAAAAAAATCCCGTTAGCGAAAATTCTTCCAACTCCCTCGTATCTCGGATCCAAGGCTCCTGGAACGTTTTCGACTGCGTCACGTCTCACCTGAGCCAAAAATAGTGTTTTGAAAATTAATTTTGACTTGTTATTATTTACGCGTACATCTGCGGATATGAATATTTTATTAGACATCGCACGTAAAAATGTGTTTTAAACAAGTAAACGAATCCGATATGTGTCATCTTAGTATTGATCGTTCTGTATTTAATCAATTATTCTACGACGTTTATTTATGAAACAGACTGTTGACTTCAACGAATATACGATTTTGTAACACACTTTCAAATTTCATTTTGTACCCGTGCCCAATTTTACGCTCAGGAGTGCAAAAATATATGCTAGACCCGCAGAAGTACATACCGATGATATTACCGTACGGTTTATTGCTATATTTATAATAATTTATAATATATTTTTGTTTTACCCACCACCTGTATTATTACGATTATTATTATTGCTATTATTACCTTATACACATCGATCGCGTGCTCGTTAAATATAGTTTCCGATTTTCCATATAATACAATCCGTAAATAGATGTCGTCGTACGTATTGCCCCAACAATTGTGTATACGGACTCGCCGGGTATATATTAACACATTATGATGTATAAAAACTATGCAGGTAACCCTACCCGACGCCTTAATCGGAAATGGTCCAGATATCTTCTCAACACCCAAAATTAATTTAAGATTCATGTAAAGGTAGCTCTACTGTGAGCTTTCCTTTTCACCGTCCCATCACTGTCATTCCTCCATCAAATTTACTCATTGTACATAAAATAGTATAGATTGTAAATATTCAATAAACGATATTTTATTTAAAAAAAAAAAAAAAAAAACTATGCATTTTCAATGATCGTTTCCATTATTCGTCGCGCACCGCAACCGTCTACTGATCCGCACACTACTGGCTATTGTCAATGAAACACAATTATTGTTACAAATATTATCATTATTATTATTATCACCATTATCAATTCGTTCTTCAATGACTACTAATATTATACTAATAATATTACCCCTGTGTTTCAAAAAAATATTTGATTTCGAGTAATACTGGATCACCGCGCAATTTCGGTTAAACCTGCACACACCATACCGTCGTCTTGCGTAATATTGTATTCACGTAGCCTGTACAAGAAAATATTATTATTGTTATTTTCGTATATAACAATAACGTAACATGATTATTATAATCATTTCATACCACGTGTAATGTAATCGTTGCGTAACAGCGTAAAACCTATTTGCTTCGTTATAAATAAGCTAATCTTAAAATGCATAACCTTACCGTACATACATCGTTTCTTGCGTCGTAAAACAAATTTACCTACTCGACCTGATGAGACGTAGCCGAGGAACGTTGTCGTGTACGTTTTTGTTATTAAATGTTATTAAATTTATATCAAAAATTGTTATCAAATCATTGTCTAGACAGCTTTAGTATCTTCTAATTTCCTACTATTGCATTTAACTATTCTATGGAAATGAACCAGTATTATGAAAAATTAGAGTAAATCAGAGACTAAAGCATTGTTCATGTGTTACGTTTTACAAAATAATTGTGTTCAGTTATTTCTGTTGGTCGTTATTTCTTTCGTAGGAAATTCAAATTTATCATCAAACGTTATTTTCGTGATCGGTTTGTGAATTTTACCGAAATATAATGGAGCCCGTCCGTTAAAATTATCCAAACAGTAACGTTTTGTCGTGACACGATGGAAAAACCTGTTCAGTGAATTGTTGGTTTCAGCTGCTCAGGTATTGATTTCAAATATTATTTATTTTATATTATAATAAAATGTGTAGTACACTTTAGGATGTTGGTGGGCTTCCCGTAGTTCCCAGGTACATGTCTAAACGAGGTAGGCACGTTGATAACTGCTCCCTAGCCCAAATGTTCTGGTAACGCCATTTAATTATATGGTATAAGCTTATATATATGCACCCAAGTACACAATATAAGTACACACTTGATATACACAATTTATAGTATTTTATAGATTATGGAAAAAGTAAATCAATGTTGTGGTGGAATTTTCGAAATATAATTAAATTTTATATTTTATTAGTAAATTATCATTTAATATATAATCCAGATGGTGTAATTATAATCATTAATGATGTTTTAATTGCACAATATTTTGTACATATATCTAATAGTGTTGAATTCGATATGGGTAATAATTTAAATTTTTAAATCGCAAAAACATGACGGTCGACTTATTACATTTTTGGATATTTACCTATATTTTATTTTATAGTTATCTCGCATGGGATATACTTAAACGGAGGCCTATAAAATCGTATTAAAATTATGATTCAGCCTTTTTCTCGATTTGAAATAAAAAATAATAGAATCGTTTATAATAAATATTCTCATTGTGCATTATTAATGATTTATCAATAAAACAATTTTAAATAGTTATTGACGCATCGAAATATTATTTACTCGACTGAAAAAATTCTGGGGAAAATTCATATTTTGCAAATAATGAAAAAATTCTTATTCAAATAATTAATTCGTAGATTATAATATGTAAGTACTTATAAAACAGTGAATTATTGACCCAACATTTTTTTCATAGTTTTTTATTTTTTAATAAAGTTAATATTAATTTTTGAGAGTAAGTAGACATGTTTTAATGGTGTCTACTGACGTGTTTTTCTCATTTCATTAGAAGTTTATAAATATAATTCTTATTCTTGTTTATATATCTGATGATTTATAGTTTTTATATTTTAGCGAGTAAACATTGCCAAAAATCTGCACGTTATTTACAAACTTATGAATTTTCTCTGTAGCCAACTTCGTGTTTGATCAACAGATAGATTTATGTTTTAGTGTCTGCGTGCTGAAGAAGTCGAATTTTGTTAGATATGTGATATTACTGGTACATTTGTATTTTGTAACATTTTTCATTTATGATTCTACACCGGATTTATTTGTCTCTAGCGTCTGTGTGTCCATGTTAAAAACAACTACTCTTGCCTCTCATACCTACTCGATAAGAACACACACGTAAACAATTTATGCACATAATTAACGTTTAGTTTTCCACTGCGATTCCAAGTCTTAACAGCGTTTCAGATGATGATTCATGTGTTCGAGTCGGTGTGTAAGTCGCGGTGTAAGTAAATCCCTTTAAAATGTTCAACGCAGCGCCGTTTTGACAAAACATTTTTTATCTGAAACTCTGTTACAGAGTGTAACTACCATCGTGCCGGTTGAAATATATTTATATCAACAATAATGCGAATGGGTATCCGAGTTCCTCGTTGTTCTAACAACTGTACACGTGAAGTAGATACAAGTTTACGGTATAATTATTGTAGTTTTGTACATATGCCCGATTGGTCTGTGTTATTTTTTTTTTTTTTTTTTTTAGCTTAAAAACGAATTCGTCCGACGCCTGATCGCGGTGTAAGTACTACATGCGTCACTTGTCGTTTTTTCGTTTGATTTTGGTCCAAGTTTCCGTGCCTGTATAGATTTTTTTACATTTTCGTGAGCACATCACGACCGCGGTGGTGGTACACATTTAACATAAACTAGTGTGTACCTCCCGAGTGTATGTGTGTGTGTAATGTATGCGTGATTTTGTGTACGTATATGTATTATATATATCTACATAGAGCATATAATATACCGTGTGTACACACGACCACGTAAAACCGGATCCGACGAAACGATTTCCATGTTCAAACCGCACACCACACACGATCAATATAATAAGCGCGTGCGATCACCGCCACCGTCGTCCGGTCGTCTACCGTACGTGAATTGTACGATTCAATTTACTCCTTATTTCGCTCCTCGGGTACGTTTGTCTGATGATGGGAAATAGCGACAGGACTACCCGTCCCTTCGGCGAGTCTCGTTCGCCGTGCAGTACGCGCGGAGGTTTCTGTAAGTTTTGGCCAGCCGTCTATTGATTGAAAACCCGACGGTTGTAAATCGTATTATTATTATTATTATTATTATTATTATTGGAACGCGTCGTGCGTCGTTTCCATCGGGTTTTCACGGTAACCCGTCGGCCAACAACCCTTATCCGACCGCCGTCCGTGCAATAAAACGATATCAACGATGACACGTGGAGACCGATAAATCGTGTCGTGCTCTCGATTACGAGTTTACGCGGCGACGGCGGCCGACGACTGCGATCGTCGTGCACACGCGGCTAGAGATCTATCCGCCGCACTGCACGTGTACGCGTCGCCAGCGAGATTTACGAGAAGAACCGTCCCGGGATCGACGCGCCGCCCGGATCTGTATACCCGTGTCTCCGCGTGGAAACAATAATAAATACGTCGCGCGCGACGACGGCAATATGACGTGTGCCCGCCGAAAATGGTCACGGGCACCGGAGACCGGATCCGTTGCAACAACGGTATTTGGATCAAGGATGCGTCGTCGTCGTCGTGTGTGCGCACACGTTGCAGTTGTCCGGATGGTATACGTATGCTGCTCGTCGGCCACGTTCTTCACGTGTATTTTTATTACGTATTTATGTAACACGACAACGTGCCGTACAAACTAACCGCGTCGGTGGACGTTCAGGGGTTCGAGATGGGATATCATCCGATTTTCTATCCTGCAGTCCGGTCGGACCTTACAATCCAACGCCCTCGTGTGACTTCCCATATGTTTTAATCATCTGTTTTCTACATTTCGAAAGAACAAACCTTCGTAGAAGAAACGTTC